GGTGATTTTTTGCAACAGTTGGATTGAAGGGGGGAATTGCAGAGGAATACGGGGGGCAGGGTTGAGGGATATCGAATACAAATACTCGACGAGGGCGGCAACGGCCGGCGAAGTTGCAGTGGACGTCCTTGCTACGTTATCTGCCACGTCGTACACGTTTCGTTTCCCTTTCACTTTCAGTCTCTCGGAAGAGTTCAGGAACCAGAAACCCCGGATCTTACTCGCGGCTGGCGCGAACAAAGACGTACGCACCTCCCTCCCCCTACCGTACTCTCCCTCTCCGTGAATCAGATGTTAAGGAGAGATAAATTAGGCGAACACCCACGATAAACTCGATGTTAAATCGCAAATATTTTGCGTCTTTGAATTAATTGACGCTAATTAATTGGCGATTAATTACCGCTCGATCGATTCCAACTGTAACATATAAAAGAGAAAAAGAGAAATATTATTAGATAATAAAGTAGAATAGAATAATGGAATGAAAACAAATGATACTCGACAGATACAAGGAAATGCGATAGAAATGAAAACTTTGACCAGAAGCTTATCAAATTCAATAAAAGCCTTTTGATCTGAATTTTATTATGAATTTAATGTTGCGTTTTTGTAGATCATTATCAATCTAATCTCGCATTTGTGGGATTTAGAGAATCGTAACAATCATTATTCTTTGAAAAAGTATAGCGGAAAGTGATATTCAAAGAGGAAAATAGGATTTTGATATATGTATTAATTTTATATATTCAATTTTTATATTTTTTGACACGCGTTCTTCTCTAAATTTTATACATATATTTTATATAAAAATTTAGAGATATCTAAATTTCATTCTAAAATAATTTTTATAATTTTTTCCCCATAAAGTTCTTATAATATTTAAAAGATGTTTAGACGTTTCTTACAGATTTAGCGCTTGTATTTCGGTCAATCTTTAGAGTTCCTTTAGAGTTCTTGAAACTTTGTTTCTTTTGCATTTTCTAATAAGATCTTAACTGAAAGACAGTTGCATCATTCATTTAATAGAAAGAAAATGCTGCAAATGATATTGCAAATGAAAATTACGAATTTGCAGAATGGCGAAGAATCAACATCAGAATGGCGTAATACCGGGCGGTGGCGCGATGTCTGGACCGGATGATTTTTCAGATGGTGAAAGCACGCCTCTGACTCAGGACTACATCGGAAGGTAATGATGATTTCATCATTATTAATGCGATTTCTTCTCAATTTTAACTCTAAAAATCAAAAGACATTTGCAGGAATGAAAAAGATTCTAAATAAAACCGAACTTTAAGTAAATTAAAAATGAAAAACGTCAAAAATATCCAAGAAAATAAAATTTAAAAAAATATATTAAGTATTTAATAAAAAAGATTAAGAATTATATATTACGATTTATTATATGAAGATTATTTTTATTAAAATTAAGAAAAGATAAAATTTTTACTTTATATTACTAGAAAGTACATTGCACATAGAATAAAATAACGCGCAAGAAGAATTAGATTAGAAAATTCTCTGATATCGATCAAATTAATTTATGAGCTGATTAAAAAAACGACATTTCAACTGACGTAGCCAACGCACGATTGTCGAGACGAAAGGATGGGACGTATTCCGAAATCCACCGCTGAAAACCGACTCCATCTCGGGCTCCATGGCGAACCAGAAGTGCCTGGAGAGAATGGTGCAAGTGATCAAGGTCCTCGTCTATCTGCTTGTTTTCGTCATCGTGCTGGGAAGCGGCGTGGTCGCCAAGGGTACGATCCTCTTCATGACGTCGCAGCTTCAACGAGACAGAAAAATATTTTATTGCAACAAACAATTAGGTAAAGTATCAAACATAAATTTTATTCTAAAAAATTAAATTCTAACGCATATTTTTTTTTCTTTGAAAAACTAAACATTATCGTATCATAAATACGATAATTTTATTATAAATAAATAATGAGAGATTATATCATTAAAAATAGATTCTTCGTGTGATTAGATTCAAATCTTTTATTCTGAAATTATAATCTTTATATTATAATTGATAATTTATTTGTTTTATTACGATTTATGATTAATATAGGTTTTGACGTTTTTGATAACGATCTTTGGCTTTTATTCAACTTTCGCATCGACTTCCAACCAGCGGCGGTAAAGCTTCTCGTGGACCTGATGAAGAAGAATAAGAACTTGGGCGCTGCATGCGGTCGTATTCATCCAGTCGGCTCTGGTGAGATCATGCTTTGATAATTTAAATGAACATGTATTTGTAACAATTGATCAAAATGAGTCGAATTGATTCAATTATGATATATCTCGTTACTATTAAAAACATAATAATAAATTAAATTTGTGTATTATTATTATACTTTTTTAATTTATCATACATATAATCGTTCTTCCAATATAACTATGTCGATAGAAAATGTAGAGAATTTATATTATCATTTATTTTCCCCTTTTTTTATCCTTTTCCTCTCTCCTCCACCCCTGGATCTTGTTTTAAAATCCATTCTCGAAATATATCCGCCGCGTGGCAAGGTCGTTCCTTTCCACGTGACCTCGCGTTCCTTCGAGAACTCTGGCTCCTTCTGCATGCGTGACTCACACACACACACACACAACGCGAACGAAATTCTTGGGCAATTCCGCGCCAGGATTCCTCTGTATATCTTGCGCTTTATCGATAGTAAATCGATAAGAGGTGAATAAGCCTTCTGCTGAATCAACCTTTTACTATCTTGGATAAATTAATCATTCGTTAAATACATCTTTTATTATCCACGATAAGTCGATTTTTGCTAAATGAAGTTATTGTGCCCGCGACATATCGATTCTTTTATCATTCTTAATATGAGCCGACTCTGAATTAAAGAAATCTTTTATTATACATTTTAATACAGACAGCAATATCTGATTTTTCGTTAAATAAATATTCCTGACAAAAACTATAATCTTCAATTTTAAAAATGTTTGCTATATCTTTAATAAATTAATTTTCTCTATTAAAAAAATTTTTTTTATCTTTCTCGATAAATTGATTTTTTATTTTTAAATCTGTTTTACAATCGGGTTCGAATTAATTTTACTCTATTTTTACTAAATAAATAAATTTTTGATTAATCGATTTTTTACCGCGTAAGCAAGTCTTTCACTGTTCCTCGACGAATAAATAGGAAAGCGCGATTTTTGCATACCACAATAGTTACCGCTACGATTAACTGATTATTAGAAACGTAGATCTTAACTGCCTCCGATCAACCGCATTTCCTTTCGCAATGCGAGCAGTTCGTCGCACCCGAACGCGCGCATCGTTCTAGAAATTTATTATTCCGAATTGGTGGCTAACGGTACGCGACTTCCTCACAGCTTCGACTCGTCGAGAATTCTAAAAAGAGAAAAGAAAATCGGTCGAGAATACAAGCTGTGATTGAAGAGATATTCTCGATGACGTTTAAATATATGGAAAAGTCTTGTCTCGATGCAGATGTCATCTTTGTGTGTGAAACATATGCTAATTAAAAAGCATGTTATTTCTGCATTTTTCTTTTGAATTTATATTATAAACTCTCGGTGACTTTGTAATCTCCATAATGTTATAGAAATGTGAAATTAAAAATAAATATTAAGAGATAAGTTTGAAATTCTTTTCATCGCGCGGATAAGTATAGCGAAAAATCATTTAAAAAAAAAATTATAAACTTAATTAATAAATGATTGATTAATTTTATAAAACAAATTAATCGAGATTAGATTTATGAATAATATAATAAAGTAGCAATTTATGAATTAATTTAATGAAACAGTTAAAAGATCGGTCAATTTAATCAAATGAGAACAGCTATTCTCTCGTTTTCGCAAATTCTTTCTGTATGAAACGCGTCTCGACAATGCATCACGACAGATACATCCATCTCCTTATCGAAAGGTGTATGGACAGTACACAAAAAAATGTGTGGACAAAGAAAAGGGAGACAGACAGAGACGAAAGAGCGCGAAAAGCAGAAGGTCAAGAAGGGTGCGCAGCTAAGAACCACACCGAGAGACGGTGATTTTTTGCAACAGTTGGATTGAAGGGGGGAATTGCAGAGGAATACGGGGGGCAGGGTTGAGGGATATCGAATACAAATACTCGACGAGGGCGGCAACGGCCGGCGAAGTTGCAGTGGACGTCCTTGCTACGTTATCTGCCACGTCGTACACGTTTCGTTTCCCTTTCACTTTCAGTCTCTCGGAAGAGTTCAGGAACCAGAAACCCCGGATCTTACTCGCGGCTGGCGCGAACAAAGACGTACGCACCTCCCTCCCCCTACCGTACTCTCCCTCTCCGTGAATCAGATGTTAAGGAGAGATAAATTAGGCGAACACCCACGATAAACTCGATGTTAAATCGCAAATATTTTGCGTCTTTGAATTAATTGACGCTAATTAATTGGCGATTAATTACCGCTCGATCGATTCCAACTGTAACATATAAAAGAGAAAAAGAGAAATATTATTAGATAATAAAGTAGAATAGAATAATGGAATGAAAACAAATGATACTCGACAGATACAAGGAAATGCGATAGAAATGAAAACTTTGACCAGAAGCTTATCAAATTCAATAAAAGCCTTTTGATCTGAATTTTATTATGAATTTAATGTTGCGTTTTTGTAGATCATTATCAATCTAATCTCGCATTTGTGGGATTTAGAGAATCGTAACAATCATTATTCTTTGAAAAAGTATAGCGGAAAGTGATATTCAAAGAGGAAAATAGGATTTTGATATATGTATTAATTTTATATATTCAATTTTTATATTTTTTGACACGCGTTCTTCTCTAAATTTTATACATATATTTTATATAAAAATTTAGAGATATCTAAATTTCATTCTAAAATAATTTTTATAATTTTTTCCCCATAAAGTTCTTATAATATTTAAAAGATGTTTAGACGTTTCTTACAGATTTAGCGCTTGTATTTCGGTCAATCTTTAGAGTTCCTTTAGAGTTCTTGAAACTTTGTTTCTTTTGCATTTTCTAATAAGATCTTAACTGAAAGACAGTTGCATCATTCATTTAATAGAAAGAAAATGCTGCAAATGATATTGCAAATGAAAATTACGAATTTGCAGAATGGCGAAGAATCAACATCAGAATGGCGTAATACCGGGCGGTGGCGCGATGTCTGGACCGGATGATTTTTCAGATGGTGAAAGCACGCCTCTGACTCAGGACTACATCGGAAGGTAATGATGATTTCATCATTATTAATGCGATTTCTTCTCAATTTTAACTCTAAAAATCAAAAGACATTTGCAGGAATGAAAAAGATTCTAAATAAAACCGAACTTTAAGTAAATTAAAAATGAAAAACGTCAAAAATATCCAAGAAAATAAAATTTAAAAAAATATATTAAGTATTTAATAAAAAAGATTAAGAATTATATATTACGATTTATTATATGAAGATTATTTTTATTAAAATTAAGAAAAGATAAAATTTTTACTTTATATTACTAGAAAGTACATTGCACATAGAATAAAATAACGCGCAAGAAGAATTAGATTAGAAAATTCTCTGATATCGATCAAATTAATTTATGGGCTGATTAAAAAAACGACATTTCAACTGACGTAGCCAACGCACGATTGTCGAGACGAAAGGATGGGACGTATTCCGAAATCCACCGCTGAAAACCGACTCCATCTCGGGCTCCATGGCGAACCAGAAGTGCCTGGAGAGAATGGTGCAAGTGATCAAGGTCCTCGTCTATCTGCTTGTTTTCGTCATCGTGCTGGGAAGCGGCGTGGTCGCCAAGGGTACGATCCTCTTCATGACGTCGCAGCTTCAACGAGACAGAAAAATATTTTATTGCAACAAACAATTAGGTAAAGTATCAAACATAAATTTTATTCTAAAAAATTAAATTCTAACGCATATTTTTTTTTCTTTGAAAAACTAAACATTATCGTATCATAAATACGATAATTTTATTATAAATAAATAATGAGAGATTATATCATTAAAAATAGATTCTTCGTGTGATTAGATTCAAATCTTTTATTCTGAAATTATAATCTTTATATTATAATTGATAATTTATTTGTTTTATTACGATTTATGATTAATATAGGTTTTGACGTTTTTGATAACGATCTTTGGCTTTTATTCAACTTTCGATAATTATTTCTGAATTTTGATTGCCGATTTTAATTTTATCCGTTTGGGATTTCTCCCTTTATGTGCAGATCGAGAGAATCAATATACCGTAACGTTGCCCGAGGTTGAGAGGATCGCCTGGATCTGGTGCATAATAATCGCGCAGTCGATACCAGAGTTCGGCGCGCTGATGCGCAGCATTCGCATGTGCATCTTCAAGTCGTTCAAGAAGCCGCAATTGTCGCACTTTCTCCTGGTCTTCATCATGGAGACGTTTCACGTGATGGGCGTCTCCTTGATGTTCATGGCAGTACTTCCGGAACTGGACGTCGTCAAGGGGGCAATGCTGACCAATTGTGTATGCTTCATTCCCGGATTACTAGGTAATTTTATACGATTCAGTTTTTATTTATATAGTTTAGTTTCCGAATTTAAAAAAATTGTATCTTTGTTTTTAGGTTTATAAATTGTTTCTATAAATAAAATAAAACAAAACAAAAAAACATACATCTGAAAGATTGTACTATAAAAAATAGTTTAAAGAAGAAAGAGAAGAGAATAAATTAAAATTAGAAAAGGAAAGAAAAATTTAAAAAAAAAATTAATTAATTAATTAATAAAATTAAATAGAGCAGATAATTAAATAGCGTAATACAATTATCTACCAATAAAATTATATATAATATATAATTTACTGATAAACAATCTGATTTATTAAGTAGTGTAATGTGCGGAACGATTGTACGTTTCATATCAAAGGAAATAAGAACGATCTGCGCCTGCTTTCAATCGCGAGCCATCATTCGACTTTCGCGTTTCATCTTTCTACAGTTCCGTGTTAGTGAACGAATAATTAAGCGAGAAAATAGTGAAACACCGCGTGTAACGTGTATGTACGTTATTATTACAGGCCTACTTTCCCGTAACAAAAGCAAAGACGAGTCCAAGCGATTCGTTCTCGTTCTCGTCGATATCGCCGCCCTGGTCGCTCAGGCGACCAGCTTCGTCCTTTGGCCGCTGCTGGAAAACTCGAAGCATTCCCTGTGGCTGATTCCCATCGCCCTGTTCCTCGTCTCCTGCGGCTGGTGGGAAAATTATGTCTCCACGCAGAGTCGAATCGGTAAAGTTTTTGTAGGCTTACAAAAGAAAATTTAAAAAGTTTTTTATATCAATTGAATGTTAATTTATTGATTATTAGAACTCTTCTTCAAATTATAATAACGTAATCAATATGAACGAAAAATAATATCGTGTAATTTCAAATTCTACGATATAAAAGCTGGAAATTGAATAATATAAAAAAATAATATTTAGCTTGATTATATATAATTAATTTATATCAGAGATAAATAAAATTAAATAATATAAATAATATAAAATAGTATTATTAAGTTTTGTTTATTATTATTAATAATTAATAATAGAAACAAAATTAAAATAAAATTTACTTTATACGATAATATTTATTTATTATATTTATCAGTTATTCATGTTATGTCAGATAATTATGTCAGATTTCGAATATTTGTCTCCTCAATTTTCCACTTTCTTTTCACAGGTCTGATTAGAACACTCGGCAGGGTGAAAAAGGAAATGCGACTGACGCGCTATTTCACTTACATGCTGATGTCCATTTGGAAAATTGTGGCGTTCTTTATCAGTTCGATATTGATACTGTATATGAAAGGGGAGAACGTCGGTCATCTCTTCACCATGCTGAGCAGCGCTTTCAGTGAGCACAAGATCACCGTTACATCCGTCAAGTCAATCGCCGGTGGAAGTCTGCCCGATCTCTCGGAGATCGTGACCGGCGACATCACCGAGGTCCTCAACGCCGACTTCAGCACGCCCATCTACGTTCTTCTGCTACAAATCGCCGGCTCCTACTTCGCCTACATTTTCGGTAAATAAATAAAATCGAAGCTAACTTTGGATTTTTTAAACATCACAATAAATATATTTCAACTTCTTTCTTATCTGCAAAAACATTTTTTTTTAATATCAGAGAAATCAGCGAAATTTTCGTAATTATAATTAATATCCTAAAATTAATATTAAATTAAACTGGTCGATATCAGATGCACTATCCTCCAGAGGACTTGCTCGATTCGCAAGATCTTCGTATCGCTGACGTTCAGCTCCACTAGCCGGGAATAGAGCGCCTCCAGCAAGATGAGGCTGTGCGGCAACGTCTCGATCAACAGGTCCACCGGAATATCTGTCAAAGCAGCCTTCAGAGTGTAATGCGGTAGTTTCATCAGGAAGCCGGCCGCCTCCCTGTATTGTCTACCCTCGTACAATCTTAGCAGTCTGAAAGAAGGGACATAGCCGTATCCCGTTAGCATGTGTGCGATAGTTTGTTGGCGGAACTTTACATTGTATAAACCAGAACAGTGTCGGGAGAGTAGAAACAAGATTTAACTTTACGACGCAAACTATATATACCTAGACAATATATACCTAGACAAAAGTGATGTTTATGTTTATTCAATATATATATATATATATATATATATATATATATATATGTATAACAACATGTTGAACTTTAACGTTCCCCATGCATAAACCAGAGGAGACTGCACCTGGGGACTAATCAATCACGAAGGCTTCTGCATCATTAAATAATCCTGCAACCATCCGCTTCGTCATCATACTTCGGCTTATCTTAAAACGGAAAGCAATTAACATACACGCATATATACGAAGGATTGATGGGAATAACGGCAGGTGATAGTGGCCGCTGTGATCAGCACCGCGTACGCGATCGTGATGATAGCGGTGATCGTCGCCACCGCGATAAATATCGTGAAGGAGAGCGTGATGTCGCCGACCGCCTGGTTCCTGTTCCTCATTGTGAGTGAGTCCGCGATCGCGGGTCTCCTGCATCCGTACGAGGTCGGTTGCCTGCTGTACGGTGTGATCTATTACCTGGCGATACCGTCGACGTACATCCTACTAATCATATACGCGCTATGCAATCTCAACAATATCGCGTGGGGCACGCGGGAGATTAAGACGAAGAAAACATGCGCGGTAATTAATCGTCCACTTTACTAACCGACTAATCTGCACTAATCGGAATACTTTCCCCTGTAAATATTCTGGCGAACCCGGCTTTTTAAAAATTAAAAATAATATTATAATAAAATGTTCGTCTTACAAGTAAGTCGTTAATGGGTTTATTGTAGATTATTAATATTTTATTGTATTATACACAATCTATTTAATTAACGAGACTCACATTAAAATTAACGAGAAAATAGCGAAGCAAGGATCGCGTCTTTCATTGCCATTCGTGCGATTCAGGAACTCGAGCAAGAGAAGCGGGAGGCGGAAGAAGCGAAACGCAAGGCCAAGCAGAAGTCTCTGCTTGGTTTCCTGCAGAATGGCGCAGGTACCAACGACGACGATCAGGGCTCCATCGAGATATCTCTGGCTGGTTTGTTCAAGTGTCTGCTCTGTACCCACGGCAAACCGTCTGCCGAGAAGCAGCAGCTCGTAGCGATCGCGGAATCGCTCGAGCAGCTTGGCAAGAGGCTCGAGACTATCGAGAGGTATGGAAGAAGAAACGAGACAATCCATCATTTTCTGCAATCGACGAAAAATTATCGCAAAACATTTAATCAAAGTATTCCTCTCTTAAAGAGTTTACGTATTTGAGGCAGAATAAAACTGGTGAATTTTATCTAAATTATTTTAAATTTGATTTATATTTTTTTGATGCTTTCAAAAAGATTAAAAGATTCTCTTGTAGAGCGGTGGATCCTCATTCCTCCGGAAGGAGAAGAGCCTCATCCGTGGGTTCGCGAACTGCCGATCATCTCGGCGCCATCGGCGAGGATCCGGCCGAGGATGAGGAGGCCAGCGACACGGAAACGGTAACGAGTTTGAATACCGAGGGTAATCGCGATGGCAGCAACTTCCTCACGCGACCGTATTGGTTGAGCGACGATGGTTTGAAGAAAGGCGAGGTGGATGTGCTGTCACTACAGGAGGAGCAGTTCTGGAAGGATCTGTTAGAGAAGTATCTCTATCCGATCGACGAGGACAAGACGGAGAAGGTAAAACAACGAGCAAACTACTCTGAAACTGGACTTTGAATATTCCTTTAATCGGAAGAACTTGTATCTGTTTAAAATTTTCTTTGCAAATTTCTCTTGATTCATATATTTTTTCCAAATATCACGATGTAATTACGTCAAAGTAGTTTCTTAATATTATTATTTTAACTAATAATCATTTTTAAGAACTTTATTGAAGATTATTTTAACGTAATTGCTAAATCATTTTTATTCTATGTTTAAGAATTAAATGAACCGTGAAAGAAATTTAATTTCTTCTATAAAATTTGGAACTTTTAATTTTTAAACTTTGCTAATCCACATATTCTTTCTGTGTCAAAACAAATTCACAATTTTACTTAGGAATAATTTATAATCGTATTAAACAAATGGAGATTCTTTAATTTTTTTTTTTTTCAATTAATATTTAAAAATTTTTTAATTATAATTTTCTTATTATTTTATCTTTCAGGTAAATTCGCGTGCAAGATCCTGATTCAAGGTTTCAGCTACGCGTTTCCAGTGAATCTGACGATACCAGTGTCGATTTCGCTGCTCATCGCCGCCTGCGGTCTCCGCAACAGCGATCCGTGCTTTTTCCATGGCACTATCCCGGATTACCTGTTTTATGAATCGCCACCGCCGAATTTCCTCAACGACTTTGTGTCGAAACAGTATGCCTGGGTGTGGTTGCTCTGGCTGCTGTCGCAGACCTGGATCACCCTGCATATCTGGACACCCAAGTGCGAGCGTCTCGCGGCCACGGAGAAGTTATTCGTGGTGCCGATGTACAACTCTCTACTGATCGACCAGTCGATGGGATTGAACAGGCGAAGGGATGATCAACCAGAAGTCAAAGTCGAAGTAAGTCGGAATAATTCTTGTTATCATTAATTGGCATAAATTATGAATTTCTTATTATCATTAATTGGCATAAATTGTGAAGTAAATTAATATTTGATTTAAGTTTTTTAATTTTTTCACACATTTGTAAATGACTTTTTGATTTTTCAATTTCTTATTCTTCTTCTTATGTTTTAACATATTAATTCCTTAATTTTTAGTTTTTAATACAACACTGAATTACTAATCCGTAAATTTATTAACTTATAAATTAATCGATGGATCGATTCGATAGGATCTGGCGGAGATAGAGAAGGAGAAGGGCGACGGTGATTACGAGACCATCTACGAGCAGACGGATGGTTCAACTACACCTCCGTCCGCGGTGAAGAGTAGCGATCACGTAACCAGGATATACGCTTGCGCTACTATGTGGCATGAGAATAAGGAGGAGATGATGGAATTTCTGAAGAGTATCCTGCGCCTGGATGAGGACCAGTGCGCGCGGCGCGTCGCCCAGAAGTACCTCAAGGTCGTCGATCCCGATTACTATGAATTCGAAAGTGAGTTGGCGACCGATAGTTCATCCTCGATCGAATAAATCATGCTACCAGCACTTGTCGATTATTATACTTGTCGCTTTACAAACGGAAATATCTGTTATTTTTTTTAGCTCACATATTTTTCGACGACGCGTTTGAGCTGTCGGATCACGACGAGAACGAATCGCAGGTGAACAGGTTCGTGAAACTCTTAGTTGGCACGTTGGACGAGGCCGCGTCAGACGTGCATAAAACGAGGATGCACGTGAGAGCGCCCAAAAAGTATCCGACTCCTTACGGCGGACGACTGGTGTGGACTCTCCCCGGAAAGACGAAGATGATCGCCCATCTGAAGGACAAGAGCAAAATCCGACACAGGAAGCGATGGAGCCAGGTAAGTTCTCCATTCTCTTGGGATGAAACTAGAATTCAGAAATTTTGAGTTTTAGGACTTTAAAATTTCAAAATTAGAATTACTTTGATTTAACAAACTTACTTAAAGTCCGTTATTTTTGTTAAGAATTAACGTTGTGTTCTTCTCGATTCCTTAACCTTGTAACTTCTCGAATTGCTCAGATTCTTGATTTCTCGATTCCTTTTACTTATTTAGGTAATGTATATGTATTATCTACTCGGACATCGGCTAATGGAATTACCGATCAGCGTCGACCGCAAAGAGGTGATCGCCGAGAATACGTATCTGTTGACACTCGACGGCGACATCGACTTCCAACCAGCGGCGGTAAAGCTTCTCGTGGACCTGATGAAGAAGAATAAGAACTTGGGCGCTGCATGCGGTCGTATTCATCCAGTCGGCTCTGGTGAGATCATGCTTTGATAATTTAAATGAACATGTATTTGTAACAATTGATCAAAATGAGTCGAATTGATTCAATTATGATATATCTCGTTACTATTAAAAACATAATAATAAATTAAATTTGTGTATTATTATTATACTTTTTTAATTTATCATACATATAATCGTTCTTCCAATATAACTATGTCGATAGAAAATGTAGAGAATTTATATTATCATTTA